TAATAATCGAATGACTTTTTTTTATATGGACCTTTTGTCATCAATAACAAGCTCGCTCACATTACAATTTGCAATATATAATAAATTTTTGTAAATTGATTTTTCTAAAATATATAATGTTGAATGTTTTTGTCAAATTTTATATTTAAATAAAAAAATTTATTTCAAATGCCATAATTTTTTATTATTGAATATTATTGCCAAATATTTATTAACTGAAAAAATGTTTATTGTAGAATAATTTTTTTATTACCAAATAATTTTTCATTGTTAAATAATTTTATTGCTGAATGGTTATATACAGTATATATACAGTGTTTATTTTTTTAATAAAAATTTTATATTACAAAATAATCAAATTTTTTTAAATAGTATTAATTATCATGGTTTAATCCGAATTTAAAATTTACAAAATAAAACATATTAATGTTATATATAATATTTTGTTTAAAAATTTAAGTTGAAATTACTTGAAAACAAATATCTTTAAAAATTAATTAGATAAACGTCAACATGAATTAATATTTGTATTGCAGTTTATGAGAATATACAAAAATAATTCAAAAATAATTAATTAAAAAAAAATCAAATTATAATATTTGTAAAATTGTGACAATTATTTATTTAGTATGTTATTAAAAAATTAAACTGAATTCTTCACTAAAACAAATTTTAAAAAACAATTCATTAATTTATTAAGTTAAAGTTAAAACAACGACGATAACAATTAAAAGTATATCATATGCAAATTGAAATGTGAGCGAGCTTGTTATTGATGACAAAAGGTCCATATAAAAAAAAGTCATTCGATTATTACTTGTTTTAATTACTTTGTTAGAAATATAAATTTATGTTTATAAATGCTGTATACAGTATTTCGAAAAAAATTTTCATGTACCGAAAACTAAATTGTTAAATATATTTTTTTACTCTAAAGATGAAAAACCGAGATCATGTGAGCTTTACGCGTCTGCACATTGTTTTATAGAAAAAATATTACGGCAAAAGATTGAGACAAAAAAAGAAACAAGAAAAAGCAAAAGAAATATCAATCACACGTTATCTTAGCTTAAAAATTATACACGACACAAGTATTTGTTTTCATGTGAAAATTTTATTTAGAAAACGATAGATTCCTACAAAATCGCCTATTTTCTACAACTTAAAGTCCATCATCAGCTAGCTGAGAAAATTTTTTCGATTTAATTTTATTATTTACAAAAAATATATATATATAAAATATACCAGGAATATATATATATATATATTTACTATGCTAGTTTTGATAACATCTGTGATCATCATAAACTACCTTCAATTATCAAAGTTTTCCCACCCATCGATTGCATTGTACTGTATCTCGCTCATAATGAAATGAGCCACATCGGCTCTCGATATCTTGACCGAGTTTTTTTTCGAATTCGTTTGACCCCTTTTCTCGTTTTTCCAGACATCATTGTTATCCATTATTCTATAAACACCGGTCAATGAAATCACTATTTTCCAAGATGATCGTTCCTGTGGTTCCTTATCGTTGAGAATCTTATTTGGAAAAATTTTACTAAAAATCCTTTGTAACCCTTTTGAGATCACTGGAATTTGTGTGGACGTTGAGGTTACTGGTGACATCGGATAGCCCTCGATATCGTGCTCGTTATTGCTAATGTTGCTAGAACTGGAGCTACTTGAACTGTTAGAAGAATCCATACCACTAATTGTTCTAATGCCTTGCACAGTGATGGCAATCAATCTTCTAACTTTATTTTTAACCATGCTTTCAATTATCATCTTCTAACTTCGAGAACATACATCAGTGTCGTTGCCAAATAGTTGAGGGCCAATACAGTTTATAGCGACGTCCTGACCCTCAATCACCTTGCCCAGATCTTGACGATTAAATACGAACCAGACTATTATTACAAGATTGGGGTTACGCAGTTGATAACGTGTGAACGGAAGGTTCGTACCAAAGCGATCACGTGGTACGAGGCATCGAGAGCTTGGTTGACTATCTGGGTTCCTAGCTCACCTGTTGCCCCAAGAACTACAGCAAAAAATGGCAGGAAAGATTAGTTCTATATAAACTCGCGTTGATCCCCTTCGACATTCCTCACTTCCGAGAAAATAAATTCCTCGAATCATAAAAAATCTTACCTGCAAAATGAAACCCGCACTTCTTTTTGTTACCTTATTCGTTGCTTTTGCTATTGCTGGTATGCAGCAATTTTCTGTTTAACTAGCAATCTTAGAAAAATTTTAATGCCATATTACTACTACAAGCGTATCTCCCTACTACTACTACAAACGTGATGCATCTCCATACACGCGATGCCACCCATACTACTATTACAAGCGTGAAGCCTCTCCCAACTACTACTAAACAATTAGCTCAGTTGTATATAGATGTATATTATGTAGATACAGTATATCAAATTTACCCTTTGTTCACCTAGGTGTTGTAAAAAGTTTTTTTTTGTATATGTGGACCTTATGTAAATAATTTCTTGTACAACCCTTTGATACCATTTCTTTTAATAAAGAATTTGCCATTCGAATTGTGTTGATGGTATTTGTAAGTAAATAAATTTATTATTTGGAAAATTGATGAAACCTTTTTCCATTTATCACAAGATTCTGTCAAGTACTATATGAGATTTTGGATTTCTGTTTTTAGCAGTGATGTGATAACGCGTTATGCAGTTGACACGT